CGAATTTCTACCCCCATATTATAGTCTTAAAATTATTTAAAAAAAAAAAAGGCTGTTATTGGCTCATTTTTTCTTATAGCTGTTTTTTTTGGGTACGATGTAGATATCAGAAGTCGTCAATAGTATGAAGGATTTGATAGATTACAGCCAAGAAACTTCGACTGGGCCAATTGGTAAGCTTAACCTTCATTAGTATTGTGTTCATTATGTTTTCTTTATTAAATGTATCTATGCTGGATGCTTCATTTGTACTGTGTTATATACAGTAGAAAATATTTGTATGAAATTGTCAGCAAGGGAATTCCAGAATAAAAGAAAATTTTGTACAACATAGTCTTGGAACGGTACCTTTGTTTTTGGTTATTTTTTTCCTCTTTATGAGTACAAGAAAAACTTTCCACTGTCGAAAAATTCGGGACAGAAGAGTGGTAACAAGATATCCACAACCTGAGGCAAGGAGATTATCTAGGAAGCATGAATATGGACGCATACAGAGAATTTTTTTTTTTTGTAATGAATATATGTTAGACACATTTAATAATTCAAAATAGACTAACTATGTGCTCTTTTAGAAGGAAAAAGATATATCGCTAAAACAAGGCCGAGAGTGAGATTGAACTAATTTTTTAAAGTTTTAGATGAAACATTCTCTGTAGTACTACTAGTAGGAAAAGTGCTTCTTCCAAGGTGTGTTCGGGAGGGCCTTCTTCCAAGGTGTGTTCAGGAGGGCGCTTCTAGAATAAGTGCTTTCCAACCAGTTATTGGCTATGGGGATTCTTCAATGAAGAAAACACCCTATGGAGGAAGGTTATAAATCTAAATACCGTGCTGAGATCCACGGTTAGCACTCAAATAAATTTCCCTAGTTAGCTCTAGTTGTTTTCTTTAGAACTCAAGGGCATAGCAGTACAACCTATAGAACACATTCTATTCGAGTAAGGTCTAACCAGTTACTGCTGTGTGTTCGAGTGCTATTTGAGAATGGCACTACGTTTATGCTTAGAAATGGCTTAAGAATCACGTTTTGGGAAAATAGAAGGCTCCCGACTTCCCCCCATGATTTCTGTTCTCAAAACATTTACTCCATTGCTAAAACCAAAGAGAAAAGCATATAAGAGACTGTTAGAGCAAAGCAAATTAGGCCTGGAACCTATGGCTTAGAATTAAAAGAGTGGGCCTGCTCTCATCAAGAAGCTGAAAGGATTTTTCATCAATCAGAACACAGGTTATTTGATTTGGAACCTTGAAAACTTGGGGACATTCCCAGGTTAGTAAATTAGCCGCTTCAAGCCAAAATGATAATTCCTACAAATTTGGAAAGATAACTTACCCTGATTTGGGAACGAGAAGGACAAAAATTACAAAAACATCAAGTTCTTCATATAGATCTTCCACTTACAGAAAACTAAACACTTTTGGATATATTACAGAGGAACCATCGGCTTTGGACAATTGTCGTGTGGGTGAGACAACTTTTAGAGATCAATATTTGAGAATTAAAGATCATATTAAATGAGTATAATTTTAAGTCCTCGGTCTGGTAACAACATTATGTCATCAGTAGCTCAATCATATAAAACTTTATGTTGTACAAAACCTTCAGTCAACCTAATACTGATGTTTGGATTCCCAACGTCACATGCATGCACATACAAGATTTAGAATGAGTTATTTTCAATACTTGATAGCACCTTAGGAAAAGAATGAACTCAATGTTATTATCTCTATTTGTTATGAAATGTTTGAAACTGAGTCTTGCTTTCACCGACTAAATAGGTAGTGTGGTAATGCTGAAGATAGATATTTTGCTGTTATTCAGAATCATAGTCTACTTGTTTCACCATATAAACTTAATTCACACTTTGAAGTGCTCCCGCTGTTGGAATAATGTTCGATATCACCTATTGAATTATTGTACCCTCTTTGTTGTAAATTTTTGCAGAGAGTTTGGCCAAGTTTCCGCGAAAGACGAACGCTTCGCCAGGCTTCCACAGCCAACCTCAAAATACCGAGCAACAGTTACCTCAGCCTCAGCAAACAATGGATCAAAACACAAACGGTGACCAAAGCTCTGTTCAGGCTGCTTCTATGCAGCTTGCTGCTAACAGTGGTGTTACTGGAGCAAATAACTCTGTTAATCAAGCATCAACCTCATCTCCTGCTAGTACCATTGTTGGGTTACTCCACCAGAACTCCATGAACTCCAGACAGCAGAACTCTATGAACAGTGCAAGCAGCCCGTATGCTGCAAATTCTGCACAAATATCGTCCCCAGGTTCCTCCACCGTGATTGCTCAGGCACAAGCGAACTCGTCCTTCCAGTCGCCTACACTGTCCTCATCTGCCAATCCCCCACAATCATCAATTGGTACTGCAACAACTACCAATCACATGAGTGCCACTAATTCTCCGGCAAATGTTTCCTTGCAACAGCAGCCAACACACTCTTCTGAAGCTGATCAAAACGACTCCCAGAGTTCCGTGCAAAAGATCATTCAGGAATACATGATGTCGAACCAACTAAATGGGATGAACACAATGACTGGCATTTCCTCTCTAGGGGACGATGTGAAATCTGTTCACGGGATGCTGCCAACGAACAACATTATGAGCCTCAATGGACGGAACTGCCTCGTTGGGAGTGGAGCTGCTAATAGTGTATCTGGCATCAGGAGTGCTGGATATGGCTCGATGGGTGGGGGATTTTCTCAGGCTTCCATGGTCAATGGCATGAAGTCTGCAATGGGAAATAACTCGATTTCGAACGGGAGAATCGGGATGGCGTCATTGGCTCGAGAACAGAGCATAAACCATCAAGATTTGGGGGACCAGCTTCTTAACGGACTTGGAGTTAACGGGTTTAATAATCTTCAATTCGATTATTGAAGCTGCTTGTGACAGCCAGAGGATTGTCAGAATTGCCCTCTACCGATGGAAAATCACACGAACAAAACAACGAGGGTATGGCTCACGTTCTGTACTAATTTGTTATTTAAAATATTAATAGGAAAAAATGTGGTGGCTAGCAGAGTTGTTGATTGGGTGGGGTGAGTTTCTTTGATTTCAAATGTACAACTTGTGCTTTTTTTCTTTTTTCTTTTTTCTTTTTCTTTTTTTGAGTTTCCCTCTGCATTTTAGATTTACCCTTTTGTTAATCTTTTACCTTGGCTTAAAGAGTAATTTTGGAATACGCAAAATTTTACAGCGCCAAACTTTCATTCTCAGCTGAATGGATTCCTGTTCTGTTTCATACAAACTGTAACAGGGGCAGCGTACAAGGTTTTGCTTTGATATAATTCATTTCAAGTTTTAAACAGAGATCTGTAAACAGAAGCCATAATTAAACAGTGATAGTCATTTTTAGCTTTCGCAAATCATTGAAATCTACAGTTTTGAATGTTACAAGCTTGTATTACACTACTACTATGGGATAAAACATGGATTGTGTTATGAAATTGTCATACAATCTCGGTTTAAAATCGAACATCATTGAAACCCAAAAACTGAGATCGTGACACCATTGAAACTGTCATATAGGACTCGTAGATACTAGCTATCACTAACCAAATACAGTATCTTCCCAACAGGACGTTCAATATTAAACTCCAAAACTGAAGTAACAAACTCATACCGATACAACCAGAGCATTCAAAGTGCGCAGCTCAAAATGAATAATCCTTCAAATCGGACTCGGAATTGCCCATTGCCAATTCAACCATGCACTCTTCTTCGGTCAGAGGAGGGAGATTCTTGGTTTTGCGCTTCACATTATGCTTATGCCATTCGCCCTTGTGATGCTCTCTAAATTGAGTAGCATCCCCCACAGCAACGTTACATGTGCTGCAGCGTTTTCCTTCCTTTGGTGCATTTTCACCCTCGACGGAGATTGTCTGTCTTTGTAAAGCTTCACTTAGCTGAGGAATCAACGATTCCTTGACTTGCCTAGGCGGCAGTTCCCCATTGTCGAAATCGTCATCATATTGATCCACATTGGTGTCCCCTTCCTCGTGCAAACAGAAAGAGAGAACTTCAAATCTTCCTTGTAGTTCACTCATTAAGGGATTACAGTCTCGATAAAAGCTAGGATCCAATTCACAAATCTGCGCAACAATCAAACAAAATAACTCAATTCCCAGTCATATGTGCATCCAACAAAGACATTGTCAATTAGTAATGAAAAGTGCATATATGAAGGGGTCAGTAACAATCCACAATAAAGGCAAGGATCTAAACGGGACCATGGAACATTTGAACCAACAAAGAGAAGAAGACAATGCAGAAACTTCTTTGCTGCCAAATAAGATACTCACAAGAGACCACATATTGAGTTAATGCATGAAACGTCCAATGACATGTAAAAATGATTTCAACACTAGTTGACTATGCACAGACAGACCAGTTTTTCTGACAAACTTCATATGAAACTCGAGTAATTCGTCAACATTACAACGTAACACTACATTGGAATGAAGAATAGAAAGATGTTAAGTCTTCTATAGGTGGAACTAATACTTCAACATATGACTCTGAGTTAATGACTTTCAAATGTATCTGAATCAATCATAGTGAAATAATGATATCGTTAGGAGCACGTTGGAGAGGAAAAAATCTGCGAAGCAACGATTACAAAAAAAAAAAAAAAACACTGACTTACAACACTTCGTTGCTGACTTCCAGACTGATCATTGGAAAGGTTACTAGCATTCCATGCATTTAACTTTTCAAGAAGAGATGGAAAATTCTGTTCAGGTACAGTATAGCGTATTCTCATAGGTGAACGTTTAATTGGAAACTGTTTTTGGAGCTCATGAATGACCTCAAGTGCCTGCATATCATAAGGAATATCAGCTGAGAAACACGGCCTTAAATTTAGAGTTATACAAATTGTAGGAAGAAGAACGTTAATCCTGCGTACGGGAAAAAGCATCAACCTACCTGTTTCTTTGAACTGTGATTTGGATCAATGGCAAAATGAATTTCACGCATCAGCCGCTCGATCATGCTAATGGTGTAAGGGCGTTTAGTTTCAGGATTGAAGGTCTTCTGCATAACAATGGTTGCAATATCACGAAATTGATTGGATAATTGAGCCTCCCTCTCCTTCACTGCAATTTGAAGTTCCCCTTCTTTTAGAATCTAGTACCATGAAGTTGATAATTTCATCAGTTAGGAAGAAATAACCATAAAAAACGTACACTGATCAGGAAAAAAAGAAAATAGTTCGTAAATCACTAAATGTGATGAAAAGAAATACAAAAACCATTAATGAAGGAACTCCACAACCTTCAAACAAATGGCCGTCTGATCATCTGTGTCGAAAGCTGCCTTTAAATCTTTTGTTTTCGCAAGAACTCCTTTTGAAACATTTGAATAAACAATCTGCGATTGCAAAACCTCATCCAAATCTTTCTCCCTGCCGCAACATACATTATCAAGTTCATAGTTGACACTTTATGCAATAAAAATACTGATTAACACCAAAGTAGGTCAATGAGAACACATTTGGGAAGGAAAATGAATTAACAAAATGATAACTGCAAGATACAACCACGTAGTTTGATGCAGTTGCAAATTGCTGTATGGCGTATAGTTTAAAAACGGTCTGATTATTTATATGCATATCCGTCTACTTGAATAATTTACCACTCCAACCGATGCTGTCACTCAACAAGAGGTGTATTTACAAATATATTTAATCGCAATCGTATGATTTGCAAAAAAAGGCAATGATGTAAAGCATCTTTTGCTATGTAATGAACTATATGGTATAAGTAATCATTTTTAAAAAGTATAAAACTACGGGGGTAGGTTATTAAACAGAATTCAATCTTAAGAAACAGAATTTCTTCCCCTGCACATTATCACCAAGCAGCCACACCCATAAGGCAGAAGAATATTGACTCTAAAAGAAAGATTATTCACCATCACGACGTTCCAATTGATGCAAGTTCAAAATCAGTCTACCCCTAAATGATAGAAATTCGAAATACAGTCTTTAAATCTTCTCTCATATATCCCTATCGTTCCAGCCCTCAAATAGTTTCTCCTCACCAATCGAATTCCCAATTTCCACTACCCACCAAACAATCTTCCTGAATGTGCAGTTGAAAGCCAGTAACTCCAACTCCTCTCCCTCCCCAAACTCTCCCATCGCGAACTGATACAAACAAATTACAAAACTGAAGAAGGGTTTTTTTTTTTTTTTATCTAATCCACAGGCCAAATGGATCCTCCCCGTATTTCTGTCCTATTGAAAATTTCAAACTCACGCATTAAATCCAAAACTATAACAAAGAATAAGAACCCAACAAAGCCCGAAGGAAATCAGATAATTCAGAGCGAAAATTGGTAGGGTTTTGGGGACGTGGGTAGGAGCTTACACGCCAGAACGCCATGAAAGGACCTTGTTCTTGTAACAAGCAATCTCGAAGCGGAGACCGTGCCTTTTCAAACGAACCACCGCGACGTTGGTGAGCCTCTTCTGTCCGATCGGCTGCACCAGCGATCGGGACATCTTTGCGCTCTCTTCTCCTTCACTCGCGAATTCGCCCTTCTGAATTTTGCCGACTGGAGAATGAAAACCACCACACACGCCAAGCGAAGCTTTTCAATACTCTTGAGCCGTCTGGAAAATTTTTAAGATTAAATAGGGCACCTATTTCCGATCAATACGTCCTCAGTTCGAATCTCGCGTTCGATATGTTGTACCCAAGAAAAAATCAAACTTGTAAAAACTCATGTGGACATGAGAGTTTTCAATTATATTATAAACTTTGGATTAAATTTCAATTATTTCCCAATAGTTTAAATAATTTAGAAATTGTCCAAAATAACCATTTCGTAACTTTCTCGTTTAGATGAAATGAAAATTTAGCGCATCAATGAGGTGTAAAAATAAATCGAAAGATCTTAGTCACGTTTCAAAATGACGTCATTTAGGAGGAAACAATTTTGAGAATTATGATAAAATATTGTTCATTCACGCACGATTAAAAGATTTGGGATGAAACAAATTTCGGAGAGGTAAACAAATGACAGACAATGAACAAAATATGGGCCTCCCTTTCCACGACCAATTGATAAAAATGAGGGCTAACAAAGAAACGCAAGAGGACCAAACCTAGAGTTGCCTCGTAAATTTCTTACCTTCAAGGATGAAAATAGTCTTTCTCCACTAGTAAATCTCCCACCCCACAAATTTTCTCTCACAAACATATTTCTCTTGCAATACCGTCTATCTAGATCCCATAATCCTTCTGTTTTACCAATACGTGTGTTTATGCAAGGATATGCACAACAGTGTATTTCGGATTGCAGCTCGAACTCGGCCTCTGGACCGATCTGAGTACTTGGGCGGACCTGCACAAAAAGGTGAGCACTCCGACGATCAAGTCAGTATAGGTCGGATTCCTAGTTTAATTCGAGGTCAGAAATCATCGTACCTGATCGTGGAGTGAGGTCCTCTACTTATGGGTGGTAGTCCCGCTAATCTCGCTACGGTTACACCCGGTAATCTCAGGACCGACGGTTACACCCGATAATCGCGCCGCTGACAGTAGCTCACATCGGCCCCCACCGAGCATCCCGGTAGATCGGACCTCGGCCAGGTTCACCTCGGCCCTCATACTTAGCATCTGTCAACGCTAGTGGTGGTGATCTCGGCGGTCCGAGCTGGGCATGACTCATTAGTCACCTTGGAGCACCAATAGGGGTCCTCCACGTGTCCAGGGTATTCTCTTCCCCAAACATTGACCCCCTCTCTGTCTGGTCCGATCTCGACCTGGCAGAGAAGTTCATTCGACTTGCTTTGGACGCGTGGCGACTTCCTATTCGTGGGAGAATATAACCGTTGCGGTGGATTTATCGTCGGATTATTCAAATATTCCGACGCTTCGGATTTTCGGGAGGATCCTAGCCGCTCGTTGATTACATGTCTACGGTGGGGAAATTTTTCCGACGAGCTATAAATACCCCCAATCCTTCAGGTCATACCTTACGTTTCCTGAATTCCTAGAGTTCGATCTGAAGGCAGCTCGAACCCTTGGTAGGTCGGTCTCTTCCCTCACTTTCTCTTTCGAACGTAGTTGCCATGTCGTTCTCTTTTAGCAGCGACTTAGGATCCGATGAGGATTTAGCTCGTAGGTTAGAGTCCGAGCTCGAGGAGATAGAAAACTTTAGGTTCTCCGATGACG